TCCCCACTTCCAGCCACTCTCTGAAGACTGGAGAAGAAGACCCTAATAAGAATATTAGGGGTGAAGGCAGAGGAAGTATGGCTTTGGGTTTTTTTGCAGTCTTCAGATGAGGACTAGACCATGTGAAAAATGAACATAAGATTTTAGCTGCAGTTCATTCATTTGCAGATTTGTTTTCTTGTTATATAAAAAAAGTGCACCTAGACACTCCATTGCAGCACCCATAACCTAGGATGAAGGTGCCATTTAGCTCCTAGCTTTCATATCTCAGTTTCTAACTCTGCTCCCTCTGTGTTGTACTGACTGACTATTTGAATCAACTAATCAACTAAAACAGCTGAAGTTATATGCAATTGGAGCAAGTAATTGTTTAAAATATTGCAGGTTTTTAACTAAGCTGATCTTATGGCACAGAACAAAAGTATGTAGATGGTTTTCCCATGGCCTGTCAGAAGAAGGGAAGTTCCTTTATTATACAGTGTTTACTACACTTTTTTTTACATACTTAAATAAACTCAAATTCCACAACCATTTCTCTGGACATGAAATGTCAAAAGAAACTGTCTGATGTGCTTTCATCTCCATTAATCTAAGAGTGGTCTAGACATAAAACAAAATCTGTTCTGTTTTTCATCCGGACACATGTGATTTAGAGTGGCACTGAACACTGTCTTGTTTCATTTTTTTATGTTGAAAGGTAGGTGTGTGTGTGTGTGTGTGTGTGTGTGTGAAGAAGAGATTTTCAGAAGGGGGGAAATAATTAGAAGAATATTGGCTTTATTTCCATCATGTTTAGGAGAAACTTTGTTAATAGCTAATGTTGCAGGTTAACTTTTCTGAATGTCTAGCACTATTAATGTCTGTGTTGTGCTGCAGCTCAAGAACAGAAGGTACAACGGATTCTAGTATTGTACTTATCAAGTGGGAAACATGTATGAAGTGGACTGTTGGAAGATTTAGGGAAGACAACAGGAATTAATTCCTCAAGCAGTATCTAGTGAAACTATGGCATGCACTCCTACAAAATGTGGTGATGGCAATGAGGGTTAAACAAATTCCGGGAGAATAAGGCTATCTGTGGCTACTAGCCATGGTGGCAACATTCTGCCTCCACTATCGGAAGCACCATGCCTTTGAATACCAGTTGCTAGGAATCACAAGCAGGGATGGGGCTGTTGTAACTCTGGTCCTACTTCCAGACTTCCCACAGGTCTGGTTGAACACTGTGAGATCAGGATGCTGGACTAGACAGGCCTTTGGCCCAATCCACAGAGCTCTTCTTATGTTCTTAGATATGCAACTCTACCAAATTTGCTTAAAAAGCAGGAAAAAAGGAAAAAAGAAAAGCCAAATCCATTCCTAATCTTATTGACTTGTGGTTCCATGTTTGATCTATTGTCTGCTCTGCAAACAGAGACACTTCTGCATACAGTGCTGCCCTAATTCCGCATAAACCATTCTTCCAGTAAATCTTGTAGCCCTTTGTCCATCATAGACAGGTGACAGGGAAAGAGCAGGCAGCTTTTGCCAGACCCTCGGACAATAGGTGCTGAGACTTAATAAAAGAAAGTCATGGTGTTAGACTGTAAGGCAAACTGCTTTTCCTCATCCTTCCTTGAAAAGAGGAGTCCATTAGATTGGAATTATGGAAACCTCATTGTACTAAGTGTAGTATGATATGCCAGTTAGCCACAGATTTGGTGAGTCATTGCTTCTTCCTTGACAATAAATTTGTAAGTATTTGTATTGCACACTGTGTATTTGATTTATCACTGGTTTCATAAAGGTCATGAAATGAGAGAATATCCCAAGTTATTAAATTGCATATCTGCTCAGTTTTATGAAACCACTCGGCCCTCCAAATGACAATCAGGTTTTGGGTGGAAAGTATTTAAGATTGCTATTTGCATTTAAATAAGCTTTGAAGTATGGCAAAAGGAGCATGAGTTTTTTCAATAAAACTCGGTGTTGGTGTACAATGGAGGATCTAAAGGACCTGGTCTCTGGAAATTAGTAAATGATTGTCAGAAATAGTTTTCTTAGCTTAGAGATAAAAGAGAGAATATGTTGCTTGCTAAACAGCTGTTGGGATGGAAGCAAGGCAAGAAATAACTTGCTTCCTTGGCACTTGGGCCTTTAATGTAAACTTTGAGTTTCCTCCTGCCATTTCCAGGTCAAATCATTTTGACATGCCTGCCACATAGCAATAAAGCTGCAGCCCTGCACACACTTACTTTGTTTTTATTTATTGCACATTTTTTATTAATGGTAAGCTGCCCCATAACCAATGCATTATAACCAGGACCAGTGTTCCCCCCCCCAAAAAAAATGTTTATGGGTAGTTTCATTTTCCTGCTCATATTGAAATAATGCCCCTCAATGATGCCAAACTTAGATTCACAAAATGTATAGGGGTATGCGTCCCCCCAGAAATAAAGCACTGACCTGGAAAACTCACAGAATGAACCAACAGTATCACGCAACAAGTTAGCCAGCAGCAATATAACCTGCTCTTTCCAATCCTCATCTGAGGAATAGACAGAGGACCCACTGGCTAACAAAACATCCCAAAACAGCAGGCATGTTGTATGTAAGATATAAACAAATCAAAAGCAAAGCAGAAAATCAGAACAGTGAAACCCACTTTCTACTGAAAGCCCCCATAATGGTTTTCCATCACCAGAGAAGGCATCAACAGTGATAGGGTGAAGCAGGTCTCCCTTAGGAGGGCATTCCAGAGCAGAGATGACTGAAAAGGGCCCATCTTGTGTGGGCACCTGCCAGGCATCAGCCGGACAGGGGAGAAACAAAGAGTAGCACCTCAGATGTTGAGCAGATTGCACAGAAGCAAACAGAAGGTGGAAAGAGGTGGTTCCAGGCCATTCTAGTCATTCACTGATATTTTATCCTGGTTAAAGATTAGACTGTCTAGGGACAGGATTCCATTGTATGTATGTGGGCTTTCTGGACATAGTATATTAGGATCTCTCTTCTCTCCCTTACTGGTTCCACATCCACCAATTACTTGTAAAACTGCCCATCCCACGCAACGACAAACATAACAAGAAGACACAAACATAGCTGGAAGAAGTTGTTTTAGATTATGAATGAATATGAGAGAATCTATTTGTACTCTTAACATTGCTCTCATGATCGCATATACTTATGAACTCAGTATATTTTCTGCGGTGCTTTGTCCGTAGTTAATACTTTGCCATTATTCATTTCCATCAGTCTGAAAAGAGCTAAGACAACAATTCTGCTGTCTGAAATGATTTATGAACTCACTTTGGTTATGCAAATGTTCAAATTTCAACTGTGAATCAAGCTACTGTGGCAACGTGTCAAACAATTTGCAAAGTGTTTAAGCAGTTGAGTGCACCTGTTTCCACTTTGCAGAGCCTTTCAAGTCCAGGCTCCTTTGATTCAAAGCAATGTGTGCTGGGTTACAGTGATGCAATGTAAGCTAAAAATCAAAACTACCTTCTGGGTATCAATATAATGGAGGAGAACCATTAAGAGGTTGGTGTCCGACAACATCAGATTAGATAGTGATGCAGCTGGAAGAACGGGGAACCAAAAACAATGCACAATAATGCAGAGGGAAAGATGTTGAGTAAGAGCAGCTAAGTATGCAGTTGAAGTATCGTAACAGAGATTATTGGGCCGGTACTCTGTAAAAATTCAATTCAAAATGCTTTGGAATAATAATGAGGCTCAACTGTCAACACCCCGCAGAATGCTCAAAATACATACATGTATATCAAATTGGTGGGAAGAAGTAACAAAATTGTGAAAATGGGTAGAAGAGAATCTATAGCTAAGTGCTTCTTGCTCCTACCCATATGTGATGCAATAGCCTATGGCGGCTTCAGCAGGTGATGCCTTGGGGGTGCTGCTGCCACCCAGTTGGGGTTGACCTAAGACAGGACTTTTTTCAGAGGAAGCTCCGCATTTGTGGAATCCTAAAGATGCATGCAAAGGGACGCGGGTGGCGCTGTGGGTAAAACCTCAGTGCCTAGGACTTGCCGATCGCATGGTCGGCGGTTCGAATCCCGCGGCGGGGTGAGCTCCTGTCGTTTGGTCCCAGCTCCTGCCCACCTAGCAGTTCGAAAGCACCCCTAAGTGCAAGTAGATAAATAGGTACCGCTTTATAGCGGGAAGGTAAATGGTGTTTCCTTGTGCTGCGCTGGTGCTGGCTCGCCAGAGCAGCTTCGTCACGCTGGCCACGTGACCCGGAAGTGTCTCTGGACAGCGCTGGCCCCCGGCCTCTTAAGTGAGATGAGCGCACAACCCTAGAGTCAGACATGACTGGCCCGTACGGGCAGGGGTACCTTTACCTTTTAAAGATGCATGCATTTTTCTCATTGATTTTCAGGAAGAACTTAAAAGCATTCCTGTTTACTAAGGCATTTGAAGGCTGAAAGGCACTCTTTCCAGCAACCCTGAAGTGACTATTTTTATTATTTGTTTTGGGTCCTTTAAAAGTATTTATTATTAGTAATGTGTTTGTGTCCATGGGCTCTTGCAGGATATAAATGAAATAAATAAATCGTTGGGATGGGGGAATAAAAACCCTCACTCAACATGATGTCACACAACATGCCATATAGCTTGAAAAGTTACAGCTGTATAAAGCAATGGGAACAGATAGACCCATCCTTAGTTTGGAGAGAGAAATCAAGGAGGAAGGATGCCCAACCACTTCAGTTAAGAGACCCAGCCCACACAGGCGCATTGGATCTGTACACCACATCTATAACTGTCAAGGTAACCCCATGTTTCCACCAGGTGGCTTTTGCTCACCTGCAGTCTAGGATCAGGACAACCACATGGAAGCAAGCACCCAGTTGAGTTCTCATTTATTCAGTGGAACTTATTCACCAAATACTGTGCTTAAGATGTAGAACAAATTCAGAAAACTGAGATGTGATTCTGAAGTTGAACTACATAACGTTGGGAAATCAGACAAAAAAATGCCAAATAGATTTTTTTTTTTTAAAGCCTCACTGGAAGGTTTTAATTAAACAAAGAGAGTTTTTGGGACATTTTTATTGCTGGGAATTTATTTACCTCTTTGCACTTTCCCCTCAGCTGAATGAATTGAAGTGATTTAAAAGAAAGGATTTTTATAGTTTGATTTAAAGCGAAGCTCTGGAATGAAGCATATTCATTTTATGACACATTTCCCCTGGTTATCTTTGTGAAGAGCTCAGCAATGACATGTTCCCATCCTTCTTAGCTCAGTTACTGCCAGAATAATAGTTCTCAAACCAGGTCCAAAATGATTGGGTTCCCTTTCTCCTACGTTGATCTTGCTGGTTGCGTGGGAAGGGAAGTTGGGAGCCGGGGGGAGCAGGTGGTGCCTGGCCCAGCAGAAAATGAGCTGTGGATTTGAAGAGAACAATGTAGGTTGAAGCAATTAATTTTATATTGCAATGTTCTTTTCCTCCCACTAATCACAGCTGTTTAAAGTTCATTCTGAACAGGGGGGAAAAGAAAGAAAGATGTTCTGCAGAGCAGATAGCTTCAGCATTATGAAGAAGAAGAAAATATACCTAGCCTATAAGTTAAAAAGGCCCTGTTAATGGAAGTCATTTACATTCTAGCTCCAGGGGTACATTTCTTCCTACAATATGTATTTTAATAAAGGCCTCAAAGACACTTTCAGTATCTGCTTGACAACCCAGTACTTTGTCAAAGCTAAGGTCTTTCTTTCCTTCCAATTTGACATGTCCTAAGTGGCACAGGCCAGGAAAAACCCTGCGACATATCAAGGTCTGGATATGAGATTACATTCAGCTAGAAAAGAAGTACATACATCCCAGTTGATTAAACAGTGAAATGCTACTGGATTTGAAGAAGGTGCATGGAAGAAAATGGAGCTTGAGGTGTTTTCAAATATAAGAAGACCCCTGGTGGGTCAGACCATCTAACTTGCCTAGTTTGGTAACTTGTTTTCACAGTGGCCAAACAGATGCCCACAGGAAGCCCCAGAGCAAGACTTGACTGCAACAGCACTCTCCTCACTTTTGTGAGGAGACAACATAAAATCAGTTCAAACTAATGATTCCCCTAACAAAAGATGGAGCCGTTCTGGAATTATTCTGTGTAACCTGAAAGTTCTTGCATCTTAAGAAAAATTGGGAGAGGTTGCTCAGATGAACTAAGGTGACCACTGTTAATTAACCAGTTATCTGGCACAACACATGAGTGAAGATCATTGCAGTGGCATTACTTTTCCAAAAGGGAGGCTGATTTTTCCTGCCAATATTATGTATCGCATAACACTGAATGACCAAGTGATTTTTTTTTTTACTGTCTGAAAGTGGGATTGTAATCTAATGACAGATCACCAGACCCTAATTTTAGCTAAACTTGGTATATATGCACTGTGCCTTATATTTCTTCTATTCTCATGGGAAGCCAGAAGAGAACCTGGGACAGAAGCAGAGGTTGGCATCTGAAGGGAAGCTGAAGATGCAACCCAGGAATTGATATCACTGAGGCATTGTGCTAAAGGACGTTGGCTAACATAACAAAAGAGCAACACCCTGGAATAGTCTTCAAGAAAGAGCTTCTGCCAAATAATTACTGATTCATATGAACCTGAGGTGACAATTGTTGCTGGATCAGGTAGAAGACAATGACTGCAATCCTTACTTCCTTCACTCTAAAGGGCTCCAGAGTGAGGGAAATAAGGACCAAATTGAAGACTGCTTGTAAAGTTCTCTGGGTGCAGTATGTTAACTTGGGAAGGAGAGTGAAAGGGTAATTGGAAATACTTTTTCAGGGCATAGAACTGAAGCCTCAAATGGTCACCTTATTAAACACACAGTAACTCTATTGCTTAGGGATGTGGGTGGCGCTGTGGGTTAAACCACAGAGCCTAGGACTTGCCGATCAGAAGGTCAGCGGTTCGAATCCCCGCAACGGGGTGAGCTCCCATTTCTCCTGCCAACCTAGCAGTTCGAAAGCACGTTAAAGTACAAGTAGATAAATAGGTACCGCTCCGGCAGGAAGGTAAATGGCGTTTCCGTGTGCTGCTTTGGTTTGCCAGAAGCGGCTTAGTCATGCTGGTCACATGACCTGGAAGCTGTACGCCGGCTCCCTCGGCCAATAAAGCAAGATGAGCGCCACAACCCCAGTCGGTCATGACTGGACCTAATGGTCAGGGGTCCCTTTTTTTAACTCTATTGCTTATTTGCTTTTATTTAAAGTAACTAAGTGACATTGAAGGTGTTATATGTAAAGGTCATATAGTACAAGTCCCTGCCGCTGCAGAAAACCCACTGCTATAGTATCCCTGATCAGCAGCCTCTGCCTGAACACCTCTAACAAAAAATAGTCTACAATCGCCTTCCAAGGGAGCCTGTTCAACTTTGAAAGAGCTTGTACTGTCAGGAAGTTATTCTAATGTTTTGTCAAAATCCCTTTTCTTGTAATTTAAATTAATTGGATCATGTCCTACCTTCTAGAGCAACAGAAATAAAGGTCCATCATACACAGCCTTTCAAATATTTGCAGATATCTATCACATCACCTCTTAACAATCTTTTATTCAGGTTAAACATACCCATTTTCTTCATTAGACCAAAACTACACATTAAACCAGAACTTTATTCCCAATGGTCCCTCCCACCATAAATGAAAAAAATATTCCTTGTAACCCACATCCTCTCCAGCAAAACAGTGTCATACTGAAAGTCACACAGAACAATTGTGTGTGTGTGTGTGTGTGTGTGTGTGTGTGGTGCCACCTGTGTGAATTTTTTTATGAACATTCCCAGATGTGCGCAGAAACAGACTATCATGGCTTAGAAAACCACATATTTAGAAAACCATTTACCATCTGCAACTGTACTCTCCATTTCTGTTTTCCATAGATTTTTTAAGGCCTGTAAGGGGTCCAATTGACAGTTCCAACAATTCCCTATATATAAAAGAAACTAGTCCCTTTCCAGTGGCTCTCTGGTTCAACAGCGAACGCAAAAATTTAGTAAGACCCCCATTGGCTTGGGTCTTCAGTTTTTGACTTGCTAGCAAAAAAAAACAACAACTTGGCTTTACCTTCAGCAATCCTAAATTGTTCCAGAGTAATAGCTGTATTATCACTGTAAAAATTCCTTATTTAAAACATACCTGTCTGTTCCTATTTCTTTACTGAATGACATATCCTTAACTTCTGTATTTTATCCCACTGCAAGTAATGGTGAGCAGATAAGAGAGATGTAAAGCTGCAATTTCTTCCAAATTTGTACCATGCATAATATAAAATGATCAGGTTTGTGGTTTTTTTGTAACATAGACTTATTTAAATGACAAAAAGAGAGAACCCACAATGGAGTTTGATGTGTAATTTCTTGCTCTAACTCAATACATTTTAGGCACTTTTGAAATAATGAAAAGAAACTTTCTGAACTGAAAGTCCACATAATACAAATCCTAATTGAGGCAAACCCCAGCCGCCTCCGTCCATTTTCTATGCTAACTTTCCCCCGTGAAACACAAAATAATTTTTGTTTCTATTGCCAGGATTTAAATATAGTTGGACGGAATGGGATGGGGAGCACCTGAAATAGATATAAAAATGTTGGCACTGCCATAATCTGCACTGCATATACATTTTACCTAACAGTGAGGGATTCACTTTGGTCCATCTGTGCATTTCCTTCTCGGGTTTTTATTAATTAAAGCAAATAAATTCACAGAATATGATTTGTTTATATTTTTAGAGATATGTATTCCTAAATTATTTGCCACTTATAGGTATGCACACCGATTTTTGCTATTGCTATTGTTCTCTAGGATTAAAATGAAAACACATAATCATGGATTTATTCAAAGCAGATTTGTGAAGGAGGCTGGTGACGCACAAATGTGGACTCAGAGGTGGAAAAGAAGATCTGTGTTAGCAGCATGGAACAAAGGCAGCCTGAGCATTGGTGCTAGACAGACTGGCTTTGTGAAAAAAGCCAAGTGCTAAAGCTGGACAGATTGTGAAGCTGAGGCTCCAATACTTTGGCCATCTCATAAGAAGAAAAGACTCCCTGGAAAAGATCCTGATGTTGGGAAAGATGAAGGGCACAAGGAGAAGGGGACAAGAGAGGACGAGATGGTTGGACAGTGTTCTCGAAGCTACCAGCATGAGTTTGACCAAACTGCAGGAGGCCGTGGAAGACAGGAGTGCCTGGCGTGTTCTGGTCCATGGGGTCACGAAGAGTCGGACACGACTAAACGACTAAACAACAACAAAAAGCTGGGTTGTTGTATTTTTAACCCAGTTATAAAGAACAAAATGAAAAGTGAACTGGGCTTAGAATCCCACCCCTTCACGATGGACATCACCAGTCCCAAGGCAATACAAATGTTACTTAGGTTTATCCTGCTCCAAGTGAAGATACCAATCTGCCACTCCATCCACCATATGTTCTAGCCATGCATTTGAATTCCAGAGGAATCCAGCTCCCAGATACACATGAACTGCCTCTATCAATTAAGGGAATTTCATATTGCTAGTGGCACAGCAGGTACCTTTCTGAACTGTTCATGCTGGGCTGTGATATCACTTGTACATTTCTCAAAATCCATATAAAATGAACCGAAGGCTATCATCCCTCTCTAACAAGTACGAACAATGTCAGCTGTATAACATTTTTCTTCCAAAGGTTCCTTCTGCATTAACCCCACCTTTGATTCCCAATTTTGGAGTGCTTAGCAAATCTTATACGCCTGGAATCTATAGCACTTGAGTTATCTGCAGCCAATTCTACTTCCTCAGAATCTGCTAGTATTGTCAAAGTCAGGGAAAATATACTTAGAGATGCTATAAATAACTAATTTTGACAGACTGCAAAATTGCAGTTTCAGCACTTATTTGAACAAAAATCTGGTTTCAATGTAACCAACAGCTTCAGATCTCAAGCTTGCACAGCCTGAATGCTATCAGACAATGTTTTTTTAAATATATTTAATATATATTTGCTTTATTTTAAGAAGCTGGCCAAAAACCACATTGTATCATATTTAAAGGTTGTGGAGGCAAATGTTATTTGAGAAAGTTAAGAATTATTTTCAAATGGCTTGGTCTTTTGGCTTGGTCTAGAATTATATGCTGTGATTGGGGACATGGGACTCTACCATACATAAAGTTAGACCACTAGTCCATCTTACTCAGAATTGTTGACACAGGCAGTGGCTCTCCAAGATTTCAGGAAGGAAACTTTCCCTGCCCTACCTGGTGACTCTAGGGAGTGAACTTGAGGCCTTTGGTACAGTATATGAAACAACCTATGCCACTGAATTACAGTTCTCCCTCTTATTTGGCTTACTGTCCTAATGTCTGCATAATGGCATGGTTACTATGGACCATGCATCAGTACAGTATTCTGATATATAAATGAAGCCATTTAACTTAAACTAACCATTTTCCAAAAAGCAGAGACATCACCTTACCAACAAAGGTCCGTATAGTTAAAGCCATGGTTTTCCCAGTAGTGATGTACGGAAGTGAGAGCTGGACCATAAAGAAGGCTGATCACCGAAGAATTGATGCTTTTGAGTTATGGTGCTGGAGGAGACTCTTGAGAGTCCCATGGACTGCAAGAAGATCAAACCTATCCATTCTGAAGGAAATCAGCCCTGAGTGCTCACTGGAAGGACAGATCGTGAAGCTGAGGCTCCAATACTTTGGCCACCTCATGAGAAGAGAAGACTCCCTGGAAAAGACCCTGATGCTGGGAAAGATGGAGGGCACAAGGAGAAGGGGACGACAGAGGACGAGATGGTTGGACAGTGTTCTCGAAGCTACAAACATGAGTCTGACCAAACTGCGGGAGGCAGTGGAAGACAGGAGTGCCTGGCGTGCTCTGGTCCATGGGGTCATGAAGAGTCGGACACGACTAAACGACTAAACAACAACAAACAACAAACCATTTTCCAATCCTACTATGGGTTACATAATTATAGGGTCAAATTGTTTCATTATTGGTACACCAACTGAAATGTTATGATTGTGTTTGGTTTTTATCTGTCATACAGTGTGGCTGTACATCTCATGAATAATAATCTACTTATGATTTTATATTTGTTTCAATGAGTAGAATGTCCATTGTTGTAGATGAAATTGACACAATTTAAACAGGGCTATCAATAGTCCACCCACTCCTTCTCCATCTTGTTATATATCCATTTAAACAATCCATTTTATTTATTTACACACACACACACACACACACACACACCACATTTACTCACCCTTCCAGATCCAACTCATTTCCCTCAGCCTTGATTACTAAGTCCTATACTCAGTTGATGAATATCCCAATTATCCCTTTAACATCTCCCATTCTCCAACACATTTTTGTAACACTTTAATTTTGACAATTCTGAGCTCCACTCACTTACCCTCATCCAACCAGCCCTATTCAAAACACAAGCAAAAAAACAATTATGCCTTTGCTGCTCCACCTTCCATGGTATAATATGCCAAATATTCCTTAATCCATGCTCATATGTTAATTCGATTGATTTCCCTCCACTAGACCTGTAATGTAAGTCTATTTACTCTGAAGGGACAAGAACACGTTGACCATTCCTCTTAATGTCCAGGGTATCCCAAGGCATACATTTTTCAAAGTGTTCTTCTTCTCATATCTGCCTGGAATTGGGCATAGAACGACGTTGGGAATACTGCTGCAGAGTATTAGGGAAAACAAGGATATCAAAGGTATAAAAGTAGGGTGTAGAACTTATAAATTAAAGGCTTTTGTGGATGATGTGATCTTAACAGTGGAACAGCATAAAGTAAGCGTTCCTAAGGTTTTAGGAAATTAAAAAGTTTGGAGAAGTGCAGGTTTTAAAATAAATGTACAAAAGACTAAAATGTTGGTTAAAAAGAATGGATGAGCAGTCAAAAGAGATTTTGGAAAGATTGTCTGGCCTAAAAATAGGTTAAAAAGTGGAATTGGGCATAGAGAGAGAGAGAGGCACTTTTCCAATGTGTTCAGCTTATTTCCAGCAACCTAGTCCTTAT